GCGAGGCCCCCAGGACCGTGCACCCGGGCAGATGGGCGCCGCTTCCAGCGCCAGGCCGTGGGAACGCGCGACCGCCCCGGGGGGGAGGGGCGCACAGATGGGCGGGGCCGGGGCGGCAGATGGGTGCGAGCCGGGCTGGGCCGCTCCGCCAAGGGGAAGGGCAGACGTCGTGGCCAGATGTTCGCGGTAGCAGGGTGGGGGCTGGGAACCCGGCTCCCCCACCCTTGCCCGGGGCGGCCGCGAGGAAGGCGAGCCGGGTCAGGCCCTTTGCCTCCCGCCGCCCTCGCCGCTGGAAGGGAACCCAGTGATCGCCACCCGGGAATCTGGTCTGAGCGCTCACCCGGCCGGTCAGCGCTGCCTCTCTGGTCCTCAGCCCCTGCCCACGTCTGCTCTGAGAACTGCCTCCGGGTGAGGCCTGTGGACCGACCGGGTGGGGATGGTGGTGGGCCGGGATGAGAAGCTAGACACTGGCGCGAGGTCGCGGCAAACAGCGTGCAGGGCTGCGTGGGGGCCTGGGGCTCGCCGGCCAGTGGTTCCTGTGCACCATAGCCCCTCGGCGTCCTGTGTGCTAAGCATCCGGCACCCCTCATTCTTCCTTGAACCCCAGAGAAGTGTCTCCCAGCGCGGTTTTTATTACGGGGATGATGTCAGTAGAGTAATGCTGTATGTATATGGGATCCTCTGGTGATCGACACTGAAGAAACGTAAGTCTGGAAAGCAGCGGGTAAGGAGGGCTAGAGGTTAGGATGAGCTGTGATCTTACATGGAGTAGTGGAGGTCATCACAGGCCTCCCTGAGAGAGGGATATTTCAGTAAATAATGTGGTTTTTTTTGTTTTGGAATAGAACTCACGACCTTGTGCTTGCCAGGCAGGTGCTTTGCTGCTGAGCTAAATCCCCAGCCCCTAAATAATGTGTTTCTTCTCTCTGCTATTCAGGAAAAGAAACATCCCAGGCAGAAGTCACAGGCAGTGCAAAGGTCCTGAGGCAGAGGTGTGCCTCTCTGGCATGAACAAGTAAACGGCCATGTGAGCCAGGAGGAAGGCAGCAGGAAATGAGGGCAGGGAGACTTGTGGGGTGGGGGTGGACTGGCTCCTGTAACCCTGGGTGTGACTGCAGTGAGGGCCCTGTCCTTGACTCTGGGTGAGACTGGAGTCATGGGCAGTTTAAGACCCAGAAAAATTGGGGTCCTCAACTCCTGGTGTGAAATCTCAGCCAGCCGGATGCGGTGGGTGCAGTCCTTACCCCTTGGTGTGTGAGGCATGGCCCTATGATCCCCAGGTGCACCTTTCAGTTTGAAGGGCAGCAGTTGGTTTAGATCAGTGTATTAAGGTTCCCAGATCAATTTGATGTGCTTTTACAATGCAGCCAGTTTGATATGTTCTCTTTTGGGAGGGGTACCGGGAATTGAACTCAGGACCTTGTGCTTGCCAGGCAGGTACTTGTGCCACTGAGCTATATCCCTGCCCCTGATATGTTCTCTTTGAAAAGGACCCGCTGTTTGTGGCACTGACAGAAGGACGTGGGAGGGATAGGCGCAGTGTATATACAGAGACCAGCGGAGGGGGACCCCCTCAGTTTCCACTGAAAGGAGAACGAGCTGTGGTCTCCTCCTGGTCCCAGGGGTGCTAGGGCTTCACCATCACCTTCAGGAAGTTGTCCTAAGGCTGTACCCTCCCAGCTGCCATGTGGACTGATGTATGTACAGGACGAGCAGCTGGTTGGAAAAGACCCATCTGTCCACCTGAGCTTTGCTCAGAAAAACAGTGTTCTGCCTAGGAAGCTGTAAAGGGAAGTGAAGAATAGGGTGACCCATAGCCTCTACTCTAATCCTTACTACTCTGCTCAGGAGGCTGAGACAGGAGGATTGCGAGTTCAAGGCTAGGTTGTGCAACTTAGTGAGTACTTGTCTCAAAATAAATAAAAAGGGTTGTGGCTGTAACTCAGTTGTAGAGTCCCAGGGTTCAGTCCTTAGCACTGCAGTCATTGTCCTCATCAGCATCATATTGGGAGAATAGTGGATGAGGAAACTGTGTTTCAAGGTGCTCTTTTTTTTTTTTTTTTTTTTTTTTTTTTGTCTTTTTGAGACAAGGTCTCACTGTGCAGTTCAGGCTGGCTCACTTTGTAGCCCAAGCTGGTCTTGAATTCACAACGATCCTCCTGCCTCAGCCTCCCAAGTACTGGGATTACAAGTGTTCGCCACCACTCCCGGCAGGGTGCTCTATTTGGAAATAAAACAAGTTGCAGAGCAGTATGCCTAGATCACCATCACTTGTGTTTGAAAACGTATGTGCCTGGAATCTTAGCACTCTGCAATCCCAGGCTGAGGCAGGAGGATCCCAAGTTCCAGTCCAGTCTAGGAAACCCAGTGATCTAGTGAGACCCTGTCACAAACAGACGAACAAACAACCGCAGAGGGTAGAGCCAGGCATTGTGGTGGCATACACAGGCCTATAATCCCAGCAATTGGGAGGCTGAGGCAGGAGGATTGCCACATGTTGCAGAGACCTGTCTCAAAACAAAAACCCAAAGGCTAGGAATGTAGTTCAGTGAAAAAGAAATTATATTTGTAGTATTTGCTTATATCTCATTAGGAAACAATACTGTAGAGGGGAAGAAGAGAGATTTTATTTTTTCAGTGCTGGGGATCAAACCAAGGGTCTCTTGCTAGGCAAGTATTCTATTTCTGAGCTCCACGCCAGCCCTAGGGTATACTATTTAAGGCACAGAGACCCTAGCAGGATGTTTAGTAGTGACCTCGGGGTTTGGGATGTGGGCTCATGTGGGCGGCTCAAATTTAAAGTGAACTTTATTTATTTTTTTTTTTTGAACTTTATTTTTTAAATGGTGGTAGGGTTTTTTTCTTTTTTTGAATTTTCCTTCTGATTTTTTTTTCTTTTAAAAATAAAAGGAGGAAAACATTAACAGACAGACAACCTTTTACAAAATAGCAAAAGAACAGTACAGACAATACAGTTACAAACAAAGTGGTAGGAAATTAACAATGCTTGTTATATTACATACTGATATTGTCAAAGTGGTTTCTCATGAAAACAAATAGAGACATGCAATATTGACCAATCAAGGACTCATTAACAGTTTCTTTCAGCAAAGAAATAGAAGACAGTGGAACAATTATGATAACTATCCTGTATACACATATACAAAATTAAAAATATGGAACGCTTCACGAATTTGCGTGTCATCCTTGCGCAGAGGCCGTGCTAATCTTCTCTGTATCATTCCAGTTTTAGTATATGTGCTGCCGAAGCGAGCGCTGGTGGTAGGGACTGACGGATTGAACTGAGGGCCCAACACAGGCTAGCAAGCACTCTGCCACTAAGTTCCATCCCCAGGCCATAAGGTGGACTTCTTTTTGTTGGCTCTACTATGTTACCTCTCCCTCTGGAGTGGTTTTTTTTTTTTGTCTTTTTGAGACAGGGTCTCGATATGCAGTTCAGGCTGGCCTTGAGCTCACTTTGTAGCCTAGGCTGGTCTTGAACTCAGAACGATCCTCCTGCCTCAGCCTCCCTAGCGCTGGGAGTACGGGTGTGCGCCATGACGCCCGGCATTTTTTTTTTTTTTTTAAATTGGTACTGGGAATCGAACTCAGGACCTTGTGCTTGCCAGGCAGGCACTTGTGCCACTGAGCTATATCCCTGGCCCCCAATGGCTATACTTCTAAATCTTTTGCCTTTCTCTACTGACATATTCCTTGTATTAGAGCTGATTAAAATGGTAACATATATTCATTACAGAGCATTTGGAAATATATTTAGCACTCAACAAAATTAAAACCACCCTTAATTTCCTCCTTACACTCATCAATGCCTTGAAGTACCCTCTGGCTGAATATTTTGGTGCAGCAGGAGGATGTGGATTCAGACAAGGTGCAGGAAGCCGGGCATGGTGGCCTATAATCCCAGCACTTGGAGGCTTCAGACAGTTGAATGGTTTCGAGTTCAAGACCAACCTGGGCTACAAAGTGAGCTCAAGGTCAGCCTGAACTGCATAGTGAGACCCTGTTTCAAAAAGACCAATAAAAACAAAAACAAAAACAAAAACAAAAAAACAACAGACAAGGAGCAGAAGTAGTTTTGCATTGGGGAACGGAGGTGTGTGTGTTCCAGTGATTTCCATGTTTCCGTTTGAAGAGGCATTGATTCTGATGTTCTGTTTTTGCTGCAATTGGAGAATATCCCCTCTTCCCAGAGGCCCGTTGTCAGTGCTCCTATCCTGCCCCCAATCACTTTCATTTATCACAAGGTAAAATTATTACTATTTTTTAACAAGGTGAAATTATTGTATTTATTTGGGGAATACTATTTAGTTAATAAGCGTATGCATTCCTGGAGAGTACAAATCAAGCAAGAATAACAATTCCAACACCACTTAAAGATCAAGCAATGCAGGGGCTGGGAATTTAGCTCAGCGGCAAAAGGGCCTGCCTGGCATGCGCAAGGCCGTGAGTTCGGTTCCCGGTACCGGAGAAAAACCAAAAACCAAAACAAACAAACAAAAAAAAAAGATCAAGCAATGCAGTACAAATTTGAAAACAGCTAGGTTTCAAAACAAACCTGCCGTGGTCATTTTGACTTTGGGGAAGAGCCAGAAGTTGCAGGGTACCAGATCCAGTGAGTAAAGTAGATGGGGACACACTCATGTTTTTACAAGCCTGCCTGTTTGTTGGGTGGCATTTGACAGCTGCATTTACTGTATTTTTAATCACATCTTGTACAGACACTCAAGAAAGAAGACTTCCAGAACTGCTTCAGAAAGCAGCAAGAACAATGGGATAAGTGTGTGCAAAGCCAGGGGGAGTATTTTGAGGGGAATTCACGGCAGTGTGTTTTGTACTGTCATTAATCTTTCTAAAGATTTTATTTTGACTAAGTGGGCGGGGTGGCAAACGCCTGTAATCCCAGCACTTGTGAGGCTGAGGCAGGAGGATCACTGAGCTTTCGAGATCAGCCTGGGCTACAAAGTGAGCTCAAGGCCAGTCTGAACTGCATAGCGAGACGCTGTCTCAAAAAAAGACAAAAAATAAAAAAAGTATTTTGATCACACCAGGTAACTGTGATAATGACCGTGGGTGATAATGTGGTGGTTAAGATTTCAGACTCTGGGGTGAGGTGAAACTGGGTCAAATCTGCTGCGTCGGGCCTATTGTACCGTGGCAGGCAGATGATCTGGGGACTCAGCATCTCCTCTGCAAAGGGGACCCCAATAGTGTCACAGAGAAGGCTGTGGTGGGGACACACTGCCACAATGATGTAAGGCGCGGCGGCCAGCTGGGTTCGGCAAAGGTCCTCAAAAAACGGTGACTACTGGAGTTTCTCTTCAGCCCTCCTTTTATTTCCTCTTATCTTCCTTTGTGGCGCTGGGGATGAAGCCGGGCCCGCCTCTGGCCAGACAAGGTCTAGCAGGGCTGGGGATTTTGCTCATCGGCACTGAGCCTGCCTGGCCAGCGCAAGGTCGTGAGTTCGATTCCGGTACTGAAAAAAAACAAAACAAAAACAAAACCAGACAAGGTCTAGCAGAGCCACACCCCTTCCCGAAGCGGCTTCTGTCCCCGAGGCTCCCCATTTGGCCGGCAGCCCAGTCCTGAGCTGTCACCGCCGCGCCACCATGGCCTGCGGGACTCGGTGCCATCGACTCCAGCTTGCGGCAGGGACATGGAGGACCGGGCCTGGCGGGACTGCCGCGTCCTGGGCCAGGCGGGGGAGGGCGGCTCTCCCGTCCCGCCTCCTTCCTGGGAAATCCCGGCAGGTGGTGGAGCCGGCCCATTGTGCGCTGCCGGGCGCGGGCAGACGGGAAGATGGACGCCTCATTACCATGAGAATCCCGGGAGGCCGCACTGCGCGGGGCGGCGCGCAGACCCCGAGACGCATTCGGACGCCGGATAATGGACTCCCGCCCTCGCCTGATTTCTTGTTTTAGGACCTTTGCATTCTGTGGGTTAAAATACACAAACTGAGAAGCAGTTTAGAGGAAGGACCCCCCCCCCCGCCCCATTACTAACTTTCCCATCGGCGCGCAGAGGAGCCTCACGGCGCAAAGCCACCTCCAAGGCCTCCCCGGCAGGGCCGCTGGTCCCCTCGATCCTCTGTGTGTCCTGGGGAGGTCCGGGGCGATTGGCTATTGTTCGCTGAGCAGATTGGAAGAAGAGGTAGATGTTAGGTTTAGCAAACAAAGGTGTCATTAATTTGGCCAGAGCAGAAAGGCCTCTGGTGTTTGGGCAGGAAGCAGGCAGAGGAGAAAAAATAGTAACAAAATCCAGCAACAAAACCCACTGACCACATGTATCTGTTTTACAAATGGTGAAACTGAGGCTTTGAATCAGGCGACTAAAGCCCCATAGTGGCAGAGTCAGAATTTCAACCTGTTTCTCTATCCCCAGAGTGTGAGCTCTCTATGGAGATTTTATGATACCAGAAGATCCGATTGCTCAGGAAGTCCCAAGAGACACCATAACTAGTGGGTAACCCAGGCAGAGAGGAGGGGAGGACCAAAAACCCAGACCTGTCAGCCTGGTGTGGTGGCTCGCTATAAGCCAGCACCCTGGGAGGCTGAGGCAGGCAGGAGAAGTCAGAGTTTGAGTCTAGTTTGGGCAATTTTTAGTGACTTAGCGAGACCTTGTCTCAAACAGTGTGAAGGCTCTGTTTTTGATTTTTTTTTTTTTTTTTTTCTCGGTACCAGGGATCGAACTCATGACCTTCCACGAGCTGGGCAGGCGCTGTGCCGCTGAGCTAAATCCCCAGCCCCCAGTGTGAAGGCTCTGGGTTCAATCCCCAGAACACTCCCATATTCAACCCCTTTCCTGCCCCCTCTGAGACAGAATCTCATTGTGTAGGTAAAACCAGCCTGGAACTCACAACCCTCTTCCTGCCTTGGCCTCCCCAGCGTTGGGATTACAGGTGTGAAGCAACATACCCGGTTCTCTCTCACACACTAATGTAGGCATTTGCTCACATATGTTGCCACAGACACTCCTAAACATACCGACACAGGCACAAATACATATACATGAGGCAAGGTGTGGTAGTGCACACCCGTAATCTCAACACCTGGGAGGCTGAGGCAGGAGAACTGCCCTGAATTCAAGGCCAGCCTGGGTTACATAGCAAAACCAAACCAAACCAAACCAAAAGAGAAGAAACAAAATAAGACAAAAGAACAACAACAACTAATCCCCAGATACATACACATGTATATTCTGTAAATAAAATGTATAGGAGGTCAAAAGCGCCTGCCTGGCAAGCGCAAGGTCGTGAGTTCGGTTCCCGGTACCGGAGAAAAACCAAAAAAAAAAAAAAAAAAAAAAAAATGTATAGGAGGTCATGAGTTTGGACCAAACCAAAATGGAGTCACGCATGCTGGTGACCATACCACCATACCAAAACCGAGTTGTTTATCTGGCTTTCCAAGAAGCTGGACATGGTGGTGTGTGCTGAGCACACTTGGGAGGCTGAGGCAGGAGGACTGGTGAGAGTTTGGGTTCAGCCTTGGCCACAAAGTGAGCTCAAGGCCAACATGAACTGCATAATGAGATTGTCTCAAAAAGACCAAAAAAACAAAACAACAAAACAAAAAAGTCAGGACAGAAAGGGTTAAAAGCCACCCCCCCCCCCAGCCAGTTATGCTGGTGTGATAAGAAAGTCCCCTTGGCTTTAACCTTTATGACAGAAAGTAAATGGGACACGTGCAGTCTGCTTTTTGTTCTGCTTTCTTGGCCTTTCTTTGCCTGTGAAACCAAGCTCCCCTGCTCAGCCAGTGTGGGAACATTTTATTTTACAGAATGAAGTTCTGCCTCATTCTGTAAAATTCTAGAATCACAAATAAAAGCCAATTAAGATCTTTAAACAAAATTTACTGTAATTTTTTCTTTTAACAGCTCACCAACACAACCAAGTAGAAACACATGTACCACACTGTGCAACCTAAGATCTCAGCACTCTCACACTTGGGCAAGCCTACATTTGCACAGATTCATACAAGAATACACACACACACACACTCACTCCTAATTGTATAGAGAACCTACCAAGCAGAAAGGACCCAGAACCTGGCTTTCCCTCCTCAGCTGTGACACCTGTGTGCTTTAACAGACTACAGTTTAAAGTTTTTTGTTTTTTTTTTTGTTTGTTTTTTTGGCAGTACTGGGGATCGAACTCACAACCTTGCGGTTGCCAAGCAGGCACTTATGCCACTGAGCGATATCCCCAGCCCTAAAGAAATTGGTTATAAGAACATTTTTTTTTTTCCTTCCAGTACCAGGAATTGAACTGACCACCTTGTGCTTGTCAGGCAGGCGCTGTGCTGCTGAGCTAAATCCCCAACCCCCTCCTCACTCCCTGCTTCAGAGTCCCAAAGGGGCCACAGACAGCCTGAAGGGGGTGGGCACCCCACTTCTAGGAGGCCTTGATGCGTTTCCCCCAGGGCCTGTCCTGGGGCCCAGGATCAGGCTGCTGCTCTGCCTTGAGGCCTTGAGGCGACCAGGAGGAAGGCGGTGCTCTCAGGCAGGGGTCTCACATGCAGATCCTTGATTGTCCCACAGGCTCTGCCTCAAAGTGACTAAGGTTGGATGCCGCCTAGGCATTAGGTGGGATGATAACAACTGACCTAACTGGAGGGGAAAAAGCTTAACCGAAGAAGCAAAGCAGGTGTCAAGACAATATGCACTGTAGATCCGATTTGGGTTAAAAAAATATACAGGATAAGCAGGGCAGGGCTGAGGATGTAGAACAGGGCTAAGGTTCCTGGCCAGGATTTATCACAGGCCAGGCCTCGGGTTCCATCCCTAGCACCTCAAAAACCAAACCAAACTGAAGCAAAAACTATAATCTGCATAGAAAAAGCCGGGCATGGTGACACACGTCTGTAATCCCAGCGCTTGGGAGGCTGAGGCAGGAGTTCCAGGCCAGCCTGGGCTACAATAGTGAGCTCAAGGTCAGCCTGAACTGTATAGTGAGAGCCTGTCCCAAAAAACCAAAAGCAAACAAAAAAGTATCTAGGTTAAGGTGTTGGCAATAATTACTGGGTGGCAAACAAAAAATGTATCACCCCTCTTGTTTTTGGAAACAAGTTCTCCCTGTGTAGTCCAGAGTCCAGGCTGGCCCTGATCCTCATCCTCCTGCCTCAGCTTCTCCAGTGCTGCCATTACAGATGAGCACAACCACATCTAAATGTGTGCTCTTGATTGCTGTGTGGCCGTGGGCAGGTTCCTTCTGTGCCTTTATTTCCCCATCTGTATAGTGAGACTCACCGCGGCGGGCTGGGGGAGTTGAGGGCTGAGCGGTAACACACACAATGACGCATAGTGGTAGGGTTAGAAGCCTCCTTCCACCCCGCTCCTGGCTGTGCTGCCCAGTGTTGACCAATACCTCCCGGTTGCCTGCAGGGATGGGTGTGTGTGAGTGGCTTGGCTGGTGCACCTTTCTATGTTCAAAAACCGTGTCACTCGTCAGCCGTGGCTGAGGCAGGTGGATCACTGAGTTCAAGGCCAGCCTTAACTGCATAGTGAGATCCTGTCCCCCCAAAACTGTCTTTCTCTGAGCCCTTCTGTGGCTTCTGTAGCCTTCAGGATAAAGCCCAGCTCCTCCTGCCTCAGCTTCCTGAACGCTGGGATTACAGGCGTGTGCCATCACCCCTGACTAGCATTCACATCTTCCGAGAACTTCACCTACTGGGGAACCTCTATGAGCACTTTCTGCGGATCATTCGCTTAATGCTCGCGGCCACCCACGAACTGAAGAGGAAAACCTCTGAGCGGGGCGAGTCCTGGCCTCAGGGTGCGGAGAACGCGTCAGGCCGCCGGGCTGCCCCAGAGCCCTCTGCGCGGCTGCACTTCGTGGGCGCCAGGCCGCAGCGAGGGAGGAAAGGGGCCCGGCCCTCGCTGGAGTGGGCGGGGCAGAAGCCCCTCCTCTCGGCCCCG